AACCAAATGAGTTCCTCCTAGTATCAGCTTCGTTGTAGCTGTCTCTGAAAAGTATCAGATTTTCTACAAAAACAAATAAAAGAAACAGCTTTTCCACTGAGTCTTCTGTTGTAATGTGATTGATACCGATATAAACATGGATTGACTTTCAGATTAATCAGATGCTCAGATTCATGTCGATTTGATTGTTTCAATGATTAAGAGGAGTATTTCATTCGTGTGACTAATAATCGTCGGTCGAACAAATTAGTTGGCGTTATTCATTCAGCTAAACAAAACAAATATGAGTATGGACATTGTTTTTCCTTTTTTTGCTTCTGTTTATAAAATACCAAAAAACAAAACAAATTAATTAACAATTTAAAGTTAATATTTCTTTATAAAAATTATATTTTATATGATTTAAATAATTTGAGACTAATCAATTATGAAAAATTCCAAACAAAACCAAAAATTAAATTGTAATGGAGAAAGCCTCTGATTATAACGATTAAGACTTCGTATCCGGAGCGAATTATGTGGAGCATATGAGCAAGTTCTAAATTTGGTTTTGTATATTACCATTTTAATGATAAAGTTGAGTATAGCACGTAATGGCCTTAATGGGGAAAAACATTTGAGTCACGTGGAAGTTGGTTCCCGTGTTCAAATTTGATTTCCATAACCATAAGCATCAAATCAAGCCATCAAGAAACAACAGCTCTAATTGATGAGAACAAATTCCCCTTTTCTTTTGTAGTATCTTTTGATGTTTTGTTAAACACACAAACATTTAACTTGGAACTTCGTAATATATAATGCAAAATATAAGGCCAGAACTACGATAAACAATTAAGATGAACTGGTTAAATTATAAATAGTGAAACCAAATCGTTCCAGTTTATGTCAGCCCCGCCAAAAATAAAAAAGTGGCTACGCATCTTTGGTGACCAATTTATTAGCTCTCCAGTTTGATAGCAACCATTATGTACTTCCATCTCTATATTTATTGCAAAATGCAAAATTATGACATATTCGAAGGTCAAAAATCGGGTAAGTTTTTAATTCTTTTTGTGCAGAATTGGCCCTTTCAATATCACAAAATCTTAAATTCCATTTTGTTTTTTTGAATATTCAAGCAAATACTAGTATTATTTGTATTCAACTGCTTCTTGGAACAACACTTTTGTATATTTTCTGATATCTATATACCTACTTCTCTACTTTATCAGAAAAGTTTACCCACTTCTAATCAATATTAGACACAACACACAAGTACAGAAAATTTGACCAGCTTATTCGACGATGCGTTTGCGATCGTGCGTTGACAGTCGTACGTCTACCCCAAAAATCAGCAACGTATACGTGGATTGCAACTATTTGACTTTTTGTTCCATGTGCAAATTAAATCTGTCAAGAAACAACTACTCTAATCTCTCCATTAATAAAATTATCAGGATGCGATCATACTAGCACTAATGCACCGGATCCCATCAGAACTCCGCAGTTAAGCGTGCTTGGGCGAGAGTAGTACTAGGATGGGTGACCTCCCGGGAAGTCCTCGTGTTGCATCCCTCTTTTAATATATTTTTGGGGATGTGCCTTTAGTCAAGTGGTTAAGTCCACTTGACTCCGCCTTCCCCACCGGAGTTCGACTCCACTAAGTCGCGTTACCCCGCATAGTAGGGATTGGCTATGGATCGGGCCTTGTCGATCCAAAGATGTCAAAAAAAAAAAAAATTATCCGACGAGCATAACGTGTGCCATCAACTTAATTTACGAAATAAGAAACCTTCTTAAAAAAATTAATTAAAAAAAAGAAAGAAAAAAATCTATATACAAAATTAATCAAACCTATAAATATTCGTACATACCGACTACAAAGTCTCATTTGAGAATAATTGAGCGATAAAGAAACGGTATGACGTCGTTTTGCCCCATGATTTCTCTTCTTCTTCTTCTCTCTCTTTCCTCGGCGGTTTTCTCCGATGATGCGTCTTTCCAGAAACTTCCGGTGCCGGAAAGTAGGTCAGGCCCTGAAGCTTTCGCCTTTGATTCCACCGGAAAAGGGTTCTACACCGGAGTCTCCGGTGGTAAAATCCTCAAGTACCTTCCCGAGACGGGTTATGTCGACTTTGCCCAGATCACAGAATCCTCGTAAGTGATCTTGTCTTTTCTTTGGATCTTCAAGATCATAACTTTTTGATGATTATGCTTTTGGTGTTTTTGAAATTGGAATCTAAATGTCATTTAGTTAATTAACAACACTCGTTTCTTTGTAACTTTGGAGAAATCATACTATGGAATTACGACTGATCAGAGCTGCTAGCCTTCTAATTTTTCAAAAAATATATCATATCTGCTTCTTAATCCGATTCTTTTTTACTGTTTGAGTTACGAGGTGATGAAATTATGATTGTTAAGGAAATAATAATCTTTAAAATCCTCTAAGTTAACATTCAAATACTTATCCTGTAACTTGATTAAAATTGCACATGTAAAATCCTGTTACATGTGTTGTATATCACAAATAATGGATGAAACATACTTAATTTTGTCCACCCGTAAAAAAAATAAATATGAATGATTAGGTGATATAAACTTCATGTAGGCAGTGGACGAAAAGCAACCTTTTAGTTCCGTGTTTTTATCGGCCTACGTTAGCAATCTGTCACATACCGGTTTAGGTGACCATAACGCATCTCAGGGTTCACACACACACATGCTTCCACGTGAAAAAAGAGACAAAACTAGTGTCTAGGTGACATACGCAAATGATACCTAGAGATACTAACATGTATATATATTTTTTGTACTAATCAAAAACATTCTTATAAATGGGAAACCTTGTAAGTTCATGGTTATTTATTTTTCTTGTTATCAAAATGTTTTTTTTTGGTTTGAATAATACTTTAGGAACTCTTCATGGTGCGATGGAAATATTGGAACGGCTTTAGCCGGAAGATGTGGTAGACCAGCGGGAATAGCGTTCAACGAGAAAACAGGTGATCTCTACGTCGCCGATGCACCGTTGGGTCTTCACGTTATTTCTCCCGCAGGTGGTTTGGCTACAAAGATCGCCGATAGTGTTGACGGAAAGCCTTTCAAGTTTCTTGACGGTCTTGACGTTGATCCCACTACTGGGGTCGTCTACTTCACTTCCTTCAGCTCACGCTTCACCCCAATGTAAAGTTTCTTCTATCTTCTTCTATACATAAATTTATTGTTTGAATCGAAACTAAAAATAACACTCTAAATATAAACTCAAATGGCAATAGTTTTTTTGGCTTAAAAATGAAATCTCTATATATTTAATCTTTATATACTTTTTAGAAAAATTCAAAAGCTAAAGTACTTCCAATAAAATGTATAAATTCAAATTTTGAGAAATTTTTGTTGGTAATAAATGATGCTTTAGTTGTTATTTATCTACAATTGATTTTAATTGGTAAAGAAAGCACCTTTTCAAATAATATTTGTTATTTAAATATTGGTTTATTGGTTATGTATGCAGCCAAGTGTTGATTGCCTTGGGATTGAAGGACGCGACCGGGAAGCTCTACAAATACGACCCGTCAACCAAAGTCGTGACTGTATTGATGGAAGGGCTGAGTGGTTCAGCCGGGTGTGCAGTGAGCTCAGATGGTTCGTTCGTACTGGTTAGTCAATTCACAAAAAGTAACATCAAGAGGTATTGGATCAAGGGACCAAAAGCTGGTTCTTCTGAAGACTTCACCAACTCGGTCTCAAACCCTGACAACATCAAAAGAATTGGTTCTACTGGAAACTTTTGGGTCGCTTCCGTGGTGAACAAGATCATCGTGCCTACAAACCCATCAGCAGTTAAAGTTAACTCTAATGGTGAAGTGCTTCAGACAATTCCTCTCAAAGATAAATTTGGAGACACTTTACTCAGCGAAGTCAACGAATTTGAGGGCAATCTATATATCGGAACTCTCACCGGACCATTTGCTGGAATTCTTAAGCTCGAAAATGGTTTATGTAAAAGTGAAGGTTCTTGTCCTGCCACTTAGATCTCTTATATTGAACGCAGCCGGTGTTTACATATGAGCTTTTTATTTATTTCTGAATGTTCAAAGGTCAAAACCGTGTAGTGGTTTGATTTTTATATATTAAATATATCTTGTGTTAATGTTTTCATTAAATTTATTGTGCAAATCCAAATGGAAAAGTATAATTTATGTTTCATTTTATTATGATCTGTGAAGATGTTTGATAAAATTAATTAATATAAAAAAAAATCAAAAAGACAAGCTTAACATTTGAATCCTTCGGACACGGATGGTATGAAAAAAGAGATTTAGGTAAAATGTTGTTCAAAAGATTCAACCTCACACACACATTCATACCTCACGCTAAACCAGGATATCCAACCTTATGTCGAAGAGAACACATCATATTAGACCATGAACCCCTCTAACCAATCATAGTTTTCTCATTTTAACTTGAATGTCAAAAAGTATCTAAGATGACAAATCTAATATTGTTTTCCCGAATCATCTTTACCATATCATTGTCTCATGAACGCTCTAATTGAAAGCCAAGGAAGGAACAAGCGAAGAGCCCCAGTTGAGCTAGCTGTATATGAACATATATTACATTATACTACAAAAAAAGGATTTACTCTTTAATCCAAAATTTCAATTTTTTTAAATTGTGAACAACTTTTTTTTTTGGTAAAAATTTCCTAAGAAATCTAAAATTTGAAAATACTATGCAAGAAATATCATTATTTTCCAATAACATAAGATAACCATGATTTAAACTGCTTTTTCTGTTAATTTTACAAATCCTTGTACACTATTCACATTTCTTTCCTTTTACTCGTGTTAAATTTCCTTTCTTGTTTGCTTTTTTTTTTCCTTTTTCTTTTTTTAAACATACAATGAATCTTTCTAACAATCTTCTCTAATATTTTACTACTAATCAATAGTAGTCTGATATGTTACTCTATAAAAACCTTCAATATTCACTGAACCAATATCTAATGTGGATTGGAATAATTATGTGAATCATATTCTCAAGCAAAGCTGTCAAATCCCCAGAAAAAGAATTAATCCATTTATTTACGGAACAATAGATCTTCTTTTTTTTTTTTTTGGTCAACGTCAAAAAAAGAAATTTCTATTTAGTATTTACCTTATTTTCAAATCAGACCTATATATATACATACACACACACAGAGATTCGTGTACTAATTTTACTTTCATAGACTCAAAAATTAAGATACGATATATAATGGCGTCGTTTGTCTTTGTGATTTCTCTTCTTCTTCTCTCTCTTTCGTCCGCTGTTTTCTCCGATGACGCGTCTTTCCAGAAACTTCCGGTGCCGGGAAAGAGGTCAGGCCCTGAATCTTTCGCCTTTGATTCCACCGGCAACGGATTCTACACCGGAGTCTCCGGTGGTAAAATCCTCAAGTACGTTCCCGACAAGGGTTATGTCGATTTTGCCCAGATCACAGAATCCTCGTAAGTTTCTCTCTCGTGTTCTTGGTTTCTTAGGATCTCAAAGATTATAACTTTTGATGATTTTTATAGTAATTGTTACCGTCTCATGATTTTTTCTGAACTGTTATATATTGTAACAAAATATTTGTATGGCTGCAAAAGAAATTCAATGATATTTGATCGGAGCTATAAGCTCTGTGATTTTATTAACAGATCCAAATATAAATCTGTCTTCATAAGAAAAAGGTTATACATAGATATTTTCTCGTTATATATAAATATTTTTAATTGGTTTGATTACTTTAGGAACTCGGCATGGTGCAACGGAGCACTTGGAACCGCTTTCGCAGGAAAGTGCGGTCGACCAGCGGGAATAGCCTTAAACAGCAAAACAGGTGATCTCTATGTCGCCGATGCTCCATTGGGTCTTCATGTTATCCCTCCCGCCGGAGGTTTGGCCACAAAGCTCGCCGATAGTGTTGACGGAAAACCCTTCAAGTTTCTAGACGGTCTTGACGTTGATCCCACTACCGGCGTCGTCTACTTCACTTCCTTCAGCTCCAAGTTTGGTCCCCGGTAAAATTGTTTTCCTTAGCTATACATATTTAATCATCTATAAGAAGACTATAACCCAATTATGAACGAGTTATTATAGATAGGCAATAGTACAAATTACATAAATAAAGCTACAAAATCCTTCTTCATTTTTAATAAAATCTAGTACATAAGAAAGAAAGTAAATATTAATTTACAAAACTATGTTATATAAAAAAATAGTTCTTATGTTTACTACTAGTTTTTTCAAGTAAATTATGATAGTATTTTTTTCTTTCAAAATCAACTTTTAAATGCTTATGATATAAGATAAGATAATGCATGTTATTTAATAGGTGTACTAAATAATTGTTGGTTATGCAATGTAGCGAAGTGTTGATCGCAGTGGGATTAAAAGACGCGAGTGGAAAGCTCTTCAAATACGACCCAGCGACCAAAGCGGTGACTGAGTTAATGCAAGGACTAAGTGGTGCGGCTGGTTGCGCCGTGAGCTCAGATGGTTCGTTCGTGGTGGTTAGCGAGTTCATAAAGAGTAACATCAAGAGATATTGGATCAAAGGACCCAAAGCTGGAACTATTGAAGACTTCTCAAGTCTTGTCTCGAACCCCGACAATATCAGGAGGGTAGGTTCTACCGGAAATTTCTGGGTCGCCTCAGTCGTGAACAAGGTTGTCATGCCTACCGACCCTAAGGCGGTCAAACTAGACGCTAATGGAAAAGTGCTTCAGACCATTTTCCTCAAGAATGAGTTTGGGAATACTTTGCTTAGTGAAGTCAACGAGTTCAACGGCCATCTTTACATCGGAACTCTTACTGGACCTTTCGCCGGAGTCATGAAACTTTAAATTGGTGATTACCAATTTTGAAATCGTGTTGAAATGTCTCTTTATATTTCAACCATAATAAACTTATAATATCACCTCAAATTTCCTGCTTGTAAGGTGGGTGACACATTTGTTCGGTGATTCCTTGAATAGGCTAGCTACTACTACTTAATTGTTTCCAATTTTCAGAGAGATAATCTCTAATTTTTAAGGCTTTGGTCTTCTTTGTTTCCCTTTTGTTTACTTAATAAAGACGACATACAATCAAAAACAGATAAGTATTTAATTTATACTTAAAAATAAACATAATATATAATTTGTTATGTACACACTTACTCAATTGCTCCTAAGTTTTTATATACACGTTACGTAGATAAAACCGTCATTATTCATTCTTATATCAATAAAGTAAGATACTAGAATGCGGCCGATTTATATAGGTACATCCATATTGACCATTTCAATGTCGTAAAATCTTGAAGGTGTGAATGGTGGTGATGTTAAAGAAAAAAGTGTGCGGTGTCATAAGTTGGGACAGTTTATTTGCACGATCATCATTCTACACTGTCAAAAAATTATACACAAACCATAGTAATTTCTTATGCATGATAACAAAAATGGAAAGTAATGCGATTGCTTTCCATTTTTGCAACCGCATTTACAAGTGAATTAAGAAAACTAAATGTCATAACATTTACTCAATTGCTCCTAAGTTTAATGTGTATCTTCTCATCAATCTACTTCTAATCAAGCGTATTTGTTTCCTTTTATATATTCAATCAATTACTAATTTTAGTTTGATTTGTTTCTATAAATACTTTGTCTATTGTCATCTTTAGAATTACAAAAGAAGATATGTCAATAAAAGGACATGTTTTTTTTTTAAAGTACATTCCAAAAATAAATCTATAAATACACATACAGATTACAGATGGATAACAAAAACACAACCAGAGAAACATTATGAGGTCGTTTGTCTCCTTGATTTCTTTTCTCCTTCTTCTCTCATTTTCTTCATCTGTTTTCTCAGCCAAAGAGTCATTTCAAAAGCTTCCGGTGCCAGGAAACAGAACAGGCCCTGAAGCTTTCGCTTTTGATTCCACCGGAAAAGGATTCTACACTGGAGTCTCCGGCGGTAAAATCCTAAAATATCTTCCAAGGAAAGGTTATGTCGATTTTGCCCAGATCACAAACTCTTCGTAAGTTTCCAAGATCATTAACTTTTATATAGTTATGCTTCTTTTTTTTTTTGTCACGCATATAGTTATGCTTCTTATGATTGGAATTTAATGATATCAAGAGCCTGATACGCACATCAGAATTCTTTCCATATACTACATGATGATGCTACGAATCTTTTCATATTTTTATGGTAAAATAACCTTATCTTTTCATGAAACATAAGACAAAGACGTAAAAATAAACTCGAAATCAGATCTGACACGTGATACACATTGAGATAACTTTGTTGTCAAAATACAAACCTCTAGAGTCAATCATGTTATGATCTCCGATTCAGATCTGATACACTGACATGAGATATACATTGAGATAACTTTCTTGTCAATATACGAACTTCAGAGTCAATCATGTTATGACCTTAAGAATTATGATTTCGTGCTCTAGAGAACTTGCCAATCAGAAATAACTGCAACCTACTTTTTATTAATTCATTAATTGAATGCCCTTTATTTCCTTTTTTCATTCGACCTAATTTTATTTATTTATAAAACTAGTATACTCATATAATATTCAAAATAAAACTTGTTGATTAATGTGTAGAGCCAGAGGATAGATGAATGTAATCTTCTTTCATTTATCGGCTAACGTTAGCAAATCAAAGTGTCCTTTACGGTATAACAAAGACTAAATCCTCCTAAACAATCAATCTAACAGACTAACACACGCTAATATTAACATACGCATTGCTGTCAAATACGTGTGGAGCTATACAGATATAAGATATTAGAACCATATTATTAACTATGTATTTATTTTGTTTTTTTCGTTTTCGGTTTACCTTTTAAATATTAACAAAATTGATAAATTTATTTCAGGAAGTCTTCTTTGTGCGACGGAGCACTTGGAACTACTAACGTTGGAAAATGTGGCCGACCGGCGGGAATAGCTTTCAACAGGAAAACAGGTGATCTTTACGTCGCTGATGCTCCTTTGGGTCTCCACGTCGTTTCTCGAGGCGGCGGTTTGGCTAAGAAGATCGCCGACAGTGTCGACGGCAAGCCCTTCTTGTTTCTCGACGGTCTTGACGTTGATCCCACTACCGGTGTCGTCTATTTCACTTCCTTCAGCTCAACATTTGGCCCTAGGTAAAGTTTTATTTTCTTCTATGTATAAATATAAATACACATCACCTGAGTTATATAAAAAAAATTATATATATATATATATTCGCATCATATAATCTATGAAGAAAATATATATATTTTCAATAGAAATCATCGCAACGGAACTGTTATCTAAATCAAATCAATTTTTATTTTTCATTGCTATAACATAATAGTTAATAAACACTTCTGTTAATTAAAATTTCTTTTGTTTAGTAATACTCATTATATTGGTTATGATGCATACAGCGATGTCTTGAAAGCAGTGGCAACAAAAGACTCGACCGGTAAGCTCTTCAAATACGATCCATCAAAAAAGGTCGTGACTGTATTGATGGAAGGTCTAAGTGGCTCAGCCGGATGTGCCGTTAGCTCAGATGGTTCGTTCGTGCTGGTTAGTCAGTTCACAAAAAGTAACATCAAAAGGTATTGGATCAAAGGAGCTAAAGCTGGTTCTTTTGAAGACTTCACCAACTCGGTCTCGAGCCCTGACAACATCAAGAGGATCGGTTCTTCTGGAAACTTTTGGGTTGCTTCGGTCGTGAACTCAGCCACCGGACCGACAAACCCTTCGGCGGTTAAAGTCAGTTCTGATGGTAAAGTGATTCAGACCATTCCCCTAAAAGATAAGTTTGGGGATACTTTGGTTAGCGAGGTTAATGAATTCAGAGGACGGCTTTATATCGGAGCTCTTTTTGGTCCTTTTGCCGGAATTCTTAAGCTTTAAAGTGAAGAATGACAGTAGTCGGGGTTTTAGAAATAATGTAAATTGTATCGAAATAAGGTCTTGACGGATCCATGTACTATGTTCATGTTGATTCTGTTCAAATATATATGATTTTCTTAAAAAGATGGTTACAAATTTCAAGAAATAATTTAAAAGAAAAAAACAATGAAAAACGAAAAAAATCCATTATTTAGTTTACCAAAAAAAAAAAAAAAAAAAAAAAATCCATTATTTAAAATTCAGAGTAGCTGGAGAACTGGTCGGGTTCACGTGAGAAAGAGACAACGGAAATGATGCAAATTATTCTTAACAAAACGAAATGCTAAATTTTAATAGTGGTTACTGTAAAGAAAAGAGAAAAATCTTGCGACTTCGGTCAAAAGGAGCATCCTCAGCTAAGGAGATTGCAGAAATTGATAGAAAGGCTACGAAGAAGATAATAATGTTCATAGAGGTCTTCATTATTGTTTCTAATAGAGAAAGTACATATATATATATGTAAATGAGAAAATTAGAAATAAAGGATATCTACTTAAAAATTTGTCCATATATCCTTTCTTTTTGTAGATTGGTCAAATAGGTTTTTTGAAAATAAAAAACCCAATTTTACCCTCATTTTCTCTCAAAATTAATAAAAATTGATTTTAAAAATAAAACTATGTAATGTATTTACTAAAATTAAATAGAAATCTAAACCTTCCACTTGAGAAAGAGTCTCTCAATCACCTAGACCTAATTAACTGTTTTTTTTTTCCCTGTCGTAGATGAACATGTCGAGGTGAAACAAAAAGGACCCTAGTCTCTCTCAAACGAGCCCACCGCCGTATCTCCACCGACTGCGTGTTTTCCGGCATTGTTGGTCCTCCGGTGTTCATCTGGGCAACGATTGAAGACTGAATCAATAGGTACGTTGCTCTACTCTTTTTTGTGATTGAAATTATGTCTTTTTCTCATCTCAAGTCACAATTTTTGTTACTCGTTTAGAAATTTGCGTTCATATAAACAAAAATTAGATTTGAGACTTGTAGATCGATGTGAATCTTTTTGTTCTCTCGATTTAGTTGCAAGTCACAATTTCAATTTGCATGTAGAGTTGTTAATATCTTTGAATTCGTGAAACTCGATTAAAGGTTTCAATTTGGTGAGTTTTAAAATTCCAAATTTAAATTGAATGTAGATTGAATAAGTCTTTCGCTCTTTGATTCCAAATTACAATCGAAGTGATCTTTTTGTTCTCTTTTTGATATGTTTAGTCCACTATTTGTGTGTGTGTGTGTGTCGTGAGTAGCTCAAGTACGTGTCTTCTTTTTTTTATTAGTTATAGGTTTTGTCTCTTGTAAATCTTCTACATCTAAGTCAATTGTAAATCTTTTTAGCTAAAGCCATCCACATATCGTCATTGGAAATATTTCAATTGCATGTAGATTGATTAAGTCTTCTATCTCTTTGATTCATGTTAATGTATATGTGTTTGTGTTGGAATTCATTGATCCTTCTTGAGCTGTTTAGATATTTGATTTTAAACTCTCAGCTCTTAAGTTTATGAAATTAGAATTCTTTTGTGATCCTTCTTGAGCTGTTTAGATATTTGATTTTAAACTCTCAGCTCTTAAATTTTGACATTGTGAAGCTCTTAGGTTTATTTTAATATCAAGTGTTTTGTCTCTTAATAACTTTCAATATTTGATAAAGCTAGTTTGTTCTCTATTTTCAGGTTTTGGATCTACATTACATCAAAGGTTATCAATGGAAAACAATCTAGGAAGCACGAGTAAGACATCAGGTTCTTTAACATACTAATTTTTGTTTGCTAACTGCAACTATGCACTATAATTAGTCATCACTGTGAATGGTTTTATTTACATATGTTTGTTTTTTATGTGCAGCCACTACTAAGGAGTTTCCCAAGCGTCTTTTCGGACATGGTAAAGAGCCTGAAATTGAGAAAATTAACAACAGCTGCAGATTATCGATACTTACGAAAATCAAAGATGCTTTGCCACATTGAGTGCCATATGCTTAATCTAAGCATGGATTTGATAAACGATAGGAACATCAAAGAGGCGCGCATGAAGATTGATGTAGACCTTTGGGAGGCTGCTCATGATCCTATCTTAATTGAGCGAATGGAGAACTATAAACCTCCACATCAATTGTCGGATATCCTTGAAATTGATTGAGATTAATTAGCAGTATGGTTTTTTTTATCGTGCAAACAGATTATGTACTAGT